TGTGACTTCTTGTTTTAGGTATAGGATATGCCATCTGTGTCATCGCTCTGTACGTGTCCTTCTACTACAACACCATCATTGCCTGGGCCCTCTTCTACTTCTACTCCTCCTTCTCCAGCATCTTGCCTTGGACAAACTGCGACAACGTGTGGAACACCCCCGACTGCACCAACTACTTTGGCACGGACAACGTTACTTGGACCAATTCCTCCAGGTCCCCGGCAGAGGAATTTTACACGTAAGTGCATGTAAGTGTGAGTAGCAGAAACCACACAAGTATAAATAGTTGTACCGTAGCAGAAGTTGCCAGGTGGGCTATTTTTGGTCCCGGAGTTCTTATTTGATGACAACCTGATGATTTTGGTTTCCACAGGAGAAACGTCCTGGAGATCCACAAGTCTTCGGGGCTGAGAGACGTCGGGGGTGTTCGCTGGCAGCTCATGCTTTGCCTCTTTCTCATTTTCACCATTGTTTACTTCAGCCTCTGGAAGGGAGTGAAGACATCAGGGAAGGTGGTGACACGGGGCTTTATCAGACCGATTTTACTTTCCGTTTCTCATCTCTCTGTCCCCACCGCAGGTTGTGTGGGTGACCGCCACTTTGCCCTACATCGTGCTTTTCATCCTGCTGATTCGAGGCGCCACTCTGCCAGGAGCCTGGAGGGGGGTGGTGTTTTATCTGAAACCTCAGTGGGACAAGCTGCTGGAGACCAGCGTGAGTTCTGCGAAGTTACGAGGACTTCACGTTTAAAATCCCCTTCCTTTAACAAAACGTTCATTTAAAACACCATCAGTGAAACATTAATGCATAAAACGTCTTTTAAAGATTAAAAATGAGCTTTTGAGGAATTCTTGACAAACGTTATGATTCTACGATGTAACTAATTTTAACCTCCTCTTAGTTGTAATTGTAAAGATTCTTTATACTATTTACAAAACGAGCCCCTCACCTTTGTGTGCGAGTGCTTTGTTCGGGAGAGAATATGGATGAGACGAAATGAGATGCATAAATAAGCCACAGAGCAGGATAATCAGATGCATAATTGGTTTAGATTTTCTCACAAAGGCCACCCTTTCTGCCTCACTCGCTGATGCCCGGCGCTCTTCTCTTCTTTTTTTTTATTATTGCCGAACGCCAGCTTGTCTTCAGATCTCCCTGCTTACAGCTGCACATCGCCTCGTCCTCGCTGTGCGGCTCTCCGTTTCACCAACAGATATTAGTTCAAGTTAAATACTGACGTTAAGGCTGTAAAGGTTTCAGAAGGAGAATGTGAGGGTGAGGAGTTTCTGTCTGTTTTGCAGGTTTGGGTGGATGCTGCTGCTCAGATCTTCTTCTCTCTGGGTCCAGGGTTCGGGGTCCTCCTGGCTCTCTCCAGCTACAACCCTTTTACAAATAACTGCTATCGGTAGAGTCACTCAACACCCACTGACCTTTGACCCTCTGGTTCTAAACCTGTGTTTGACAGTTTGAGAAAAGACTAAGACGACCTGGAAGCTGATACTATACACATCACGGCTCTGAATGTGTGGAGAGCTTCATTATACATGCACATCAACAGAAGCACTGAACTTCACATGTTAGATATGAGCACAGCTTCACACAGGTGAAACTGAATGTGTAAACTATGTGCACTTATTTATCTGATCCGTGCAACAAAGTGAAAACAGACAGTAAGACAGAAACAGATGCTGAATTAGACTCAGTCAAAACTGCATCTCGGTGTTTGTGGTGCTCAGTAAAGATGGATGGTGTCGGTTCTGGACGTTTTGGTTTGTATAATTTTTAACTAAAGTACCGGTACACTACTTTTTGTTCTTTGCTGCATCAGATTAACATTTTTCTTATTTATCTACTAAATTTGAGCTCTACGTCTTGCTGTGTAACGTTATGAAAGACTTTTAAAAAAACAACAAACTGTTGTAACTGTGTAGTTTGTGGGAGAACAGTCCACAACTAGAAAAAAAAATGGCCGCTGAGTGACTTTGCTGAAGGTTGCTGAAAAAGATTAAACTAAATCGTTAAAGTTAAAACCAAAATCACAGCTAAAACCAAAATACAACGCAACGCCAAATCATCAAAAGCTAAAATCTGCAAAAAAGCTAAACAGTAGCTAAAAGATAAATTAAAGTGAAACAGCAGCTAAAAGTTCAAATTAACAAAACTGCAGTGAAAAACTAAAATAAACTAAATCATAGCTACAAGCTAAATGTAACTAATTACAAGCTGAAGCTAGCAAAATCACAGTTAAAAGCTAAAATCTGCTAAATCATAATTAAAAGTAAAAAAACAAACAAACAAAAAAAAAAAACAGTACCTAAAGCTAAATTAAAGCAAAACAGCAACTAAAAGTTCAAATCAACAAAACTGCAGGGAATAAACTAAAACTAAATCATAGCTACAAACTAAATGTAGCTAGCTACAAGCTAAAGCTAGCAAAATCATAAGCTAAAATCTGCTAAATCATAATTAAAAGTAAAAAAGCAAAACAGAAGCTAAAAGTTCAAATTAACAAAACTAGTGAAAAACTAAGATAACCTAATTCATAGCTACAAGCTAAATGTAGCTAGCTAAAAGCTAAAGCTAGCTAAACTAGTAAAAAGCTAAAAGGAGCATAAAAACACAAAAAAATAGAGTATGCTAACATATATTTTAAAGAGAGCAGTGTTTATGAAGGAACTCAAGATATCTAAACATATTTCAACAGGAAACATATTTGTGGATAGAGGAACTTTTTTAAGTTACAAAAAACCAAATGTTTCCTGATGGAGCTGAATGTTTTGATATTTGAATGGTTAATATAACACGAGATTGATCAAAAGAATGTACAGACGAAACTTAATCATGCTGTCACAAATCTGAAAAATGAATTTAGAAGTTTGTCAAACCAACCACAGTCTTTGTTTTGTTGAATAAAACTGTTAGTGGTTTTTATTTGGTGGGACGATTAAACCCAACATCATAAAACCACCTGTTGTACATTTCTCCATAGTCTTGCTAACAATGTTTACTGTGGTTACTGTAGGTGCAGGGCTTGGCTTCACACTCGCACCCGAACACCCCAAACTGAAAACGATACACGGCTAATCTCATTAACCAATAAATCTGTGCTGCTGACAGAGATCTATTAGAACTGTGTATCTGATGAAAAAACTATATTTAGCTCTCTTTGAGTAGAGCTGCATGAACATAGTTGTTTGTGTGACTCCTGTGTGGTAGGGATGCCATCGTGACCAGTCTGGTGAACTGTCTGACCAGCTTCGTGTCCGGTTTTGTCATCTTTACCGTTCTGGGCTACATGGCAGAGATGAGGAAGGTAGAAGTCGAGGATGTTGCCAGAGATAAAGGTAAAAAAATAAATAAATAAAATTACCTTATTTTAAAACAAATAAATCACTCTGAACTACATTGAAATGCCATTCATTTATCAAAACAAATCCTCTGATCGTTTCTTGTTTTGTTCTTTAGGACCAAGCTTACTCTTCATCACATACCCAGAAGCGATTGCAAACATGATGGGCTCTACTTTTTTTGCCATCATCTTTTTTGTGATGATGATCACCCTGGGCCTGGACAGCACGGTATGCACTTTGAAATAAACAAATTATTGTGTTTCTGTCACAGAAGTTTGACAACAAAAGGTCCAAAGAAAGAAAGAACACAGTCGTCCCTCATTTATCACTGGGTTTAGAGGACCACGCCCCCCGCGATAAGTGAAAAACCGTGAAGTAGGGATACAGTAGTCCAAGTTCAAGTTTCACTCCCTATCTCCCACCTTCTGTGTAAATTAGCAATTTAAAGTTAAATACTGTAATATTTTAAATAAACATATTTAAATTTAAATTGTAGAGAAGAGAAGTGCAGCAGGACAGCAAAGGGTTAACCCTTCACGCAGCTCTGCGGCACGGAGCAGAAATGTCCTTCTTGATCAATTACACTGTAACAACTGAACATAGAAGTTCTAAAACAATTTAAAATAACTTTTAACACTTTTATCTTTTGTGATTATGACAAATTCACAATGTGACATACAGTAGTCCCTTGTTTATCACGGGGGATCCGTACCCTGAAGCCCCGCGATAAGTGAAAAACCATGAAGTAGGAATAGTACTACAAGTAGTACTGTAAGTAGTAGTTGATTATATATATATATATATATATGGGCTGCACACAGCTGCTAAATAATTTAAAATAATTAATTTTAAATAAAAATTCCATGCCGATTGTGCGGCTCATCCATCAATCAGCCAATTGTGTGTCATGTCCAGTCTTATTTTGAAAACTGTGATAGAGCGAGTCCGCGATAAATGAACCGCAAAGTAGCAAGGGACCACAGTACTTTGAATTTTAAGTTGGAAGTCAAAAGTCGATCGGTGCAGCTGGACAGCAAAGGTGCAGCAGTTGCTAAATCATTACAATAATTTAATTTAAATAAACAATCCATGCCACTCGTGTGGCTCATCCACCAATCAGCCAACTGTGTGTCAAGTCCACTCTTACTTTGAAAAACGCAAAGGAGCGAGTCCGCGAAAGTCGAACCGCCAAGTAGCGAAGGACTACTGTAATCTCTAACATAGAAGTAGATTTTTACTTCTTGCATGTTGATTAGATCTCCACTAATGTGAGTATAAATACAGGTATCAGTCTCATCAATGTAAATTTAGGGCAGTAGTGTACTTTTTATTTGCTACACAGATTATGCAGCATCATATTGTGGAGATTTTCTGAAGATATCTTCTGTGTTTTAGTTTGGAGGACTGGAAGCAATCATCACGGCGGTGCTGGATGAATACCCAGATTATTTATCTCACAGACGTGAACTTTTTGTTCTGTGCCTGGTGGTGGTCTGTTTTTTGGGCTCTCTAAGCACCCTTACAAATGTAAGTTGTCTTTGCTTCTTTGTATCATACGAGTTGAGCAAGAAAATAAAAGTCTCCGCTCGATTTCTTCAGGGTAAAAATGTTAAATGCAGACTTTTGTAAGATTCAGGTAGTTTTTGGACTGTATTGTTACGAAATTAAATCCTGATATCTGCCATTTGTTGCTCAGTTAATATTTAATGGTGTTTATCCCATTGGCAGGGTGGTGCCTATGTGGTGAAGCTGCTGGAGGAGTTCGGAGTAGGATGCTCGATTATTGCAGTGGGTTTCCTTGAGGCCATTGCAGTTTCCTGGTTCTACGGTACTCGTTTTTTCCTGACTGGTTCTCTGTTTTTATTTTTTCTGGTCATTTCTACATCCTGTGTCACTTCCTTTGCTTTCAGGGATCAAAAGGTTCAGCAGTGATGTTCAGGCAATGCTGGGCCAAGCCCCGGGATTATTCTGGAGAGTGTGCTGGGTTGCCATAAGTCCAGCATTTCTGGCAGTAAGTGAAGAAAACAAAAATATGTGAAGATGTAGATTCAGCAGCAGCCTTAAATGTTAGTCTTCTTTTATCTATATGCTGGGAAAGCTTTAAGACGTCCTCCTTTTAAAAAAGATGAAATAAGCATTTTGTTTGTAAGTAGTTCAGATAGGTGGACTGTAGCAGATGAAATTATGATAAAGATGAAAACAGCTGCAACCATGGCCTTTAAAGGCTGCAGAAACCAGATAAATCCTCTTTTGTAGATTAAGCTCATTGTTGCACAAAGAAAAATTCTTCCCCAAAACTTTTTGCCACATTATACAGGTGCTGGTCGTAAAATTAGAATATCGTGGAAAAGTTGATTTATTTCAGTAATTCCATTCAAAAAGTGAAACTTGTATATTATATTCACTCATTACACACAGATATATTTTAAATGTTTATTTATTTTAATGTTGATGATTATAACTGAAAACTAATGAAAACCCCAAATTCAGTATCTCAGAAAATTAGAATATTACTTAAGTCCAATTAAAAAAAGGATTTTTAGAAATGTTGGCCAACTGAAAAGTATGAACATGAAAAGTATGAGCATGTACAGCATCAATACTTAGTTGTTGCTCTTTTCACCTGGATTACTGCAGCAATGCAGCGTGGCATGAAGTCGATCAGTCTGTGACACTGCTCAGGTGTTATGAGAGCCCAGGTTGCTCTGATAGTGGCCTTCAGCTCTTCTGAATTGTTGGGTCTGGTGTATCACATCTTCCTCTTCACAGTACACCATAGATTTTCTATGGGATTAAGGTCAGGCAAGTTTGCCGGCCAATTAAGAACAGGGACACCATGGCCCTTAAACTAGATACTGGTAACTTTGGCACTGTGTGCAGGTGCCAAGTCCTGCTGGGAAATAAAATCTGCGTCTCCATAAAACTGGTCAGCAGCAGGAAGCATGAAGTGCTCTAAAACTTCCTGGTAGATGGCTGTGTTGATCTTGGACCTCAGAAAACACAATGGACCAACACCAGCAGATGACATGGCACCCCAAACCATCACTGACTGTGGAAACTTGACACTGGACCTCAAGTAATGTGGATTCTGTACCTCTCCTCTCTTCCTCCAGACTCTGGGACCTTGATTTCCAAAGAAAATGCAAAATCTACTTTCATCAGAGCACATAACTTTGGACCACTCAGCAGCAGTCCAATCCTTTTTGTTTTTAGCCCAAGCGAGATACTTCTGACGCTGTCTCTTGTTCAAGAGTAGCTTGATACAAGGAATGTGACAGCTGAAACCCTTGTCTTGCATACATCTGAGCGTGGTGGTTCTTGAAGCACTGACTCCAGCTCCAGTCCACTCTTTGTGAATCTCCCCCACATTTTGGAATGGGTTTTGTTTCACCATCCTCTCTAGGGTGTGGTTATCCTTATTACGTGTACACTTTTTTCCACCACATCTTTTCCTTCCCTTCGCCTCTCTATTAATGTGCTTGGGCACAGAGCTCTGTGAACAGCCAGCCTCTTTAGCAATGACCTTTTGTGTCTTGCCCTCCCTGTGCAAAGTGTCAATGGTCATCTTTTGGACAACTGTCAAGTCAGCAGTCTTCCCAATGATTGTGTAGCCTACAGAACTAGACTGAGAGACCATTTAAAGGCCTTTGCAGGTGTTTTGAGATAATTAGCTGATTAGACTGTGGCACCAGGTGTCTTCAGTATTGAACCTTTTCACAATATTCTTATTTTATGAGTGAATTTGAGGTTTTCATTAATTGTCAGTTATAATCATCAACATTAAAAGAAACATTTGAAATATATTAATCTGTGTGTAATGAATAAATATATTGTAATAAACAAGTTTCACTTTCTGAATGGAATTACTGAAATAAATCTACTTTTTCATGATATTCTAATTTTTTGACCAGCGTCTGTATTTACCCATAAACACTTGAGCTGATGTCACTCTCTATTTGCCTTCTGACGTTAAGCAGTTTCTCTTGTATTTGTATTTTATTTTCACCCGCCACCAACAGGTGGGCACTAATGCTTTTGTTTGTATGTGGGTTTCTGACTGTCTGTTAGCAAAATTAGTCGTGAACCACTGGAGAAATTTTAATGAAATTCTCAGAAAACGATCCTCAGCTTTACATCTACCTGATTCAAGATGGCCACTACAGCTAATCTACCTTAGCGAACACAAAAATGAACATAACTGAATCAGTTTTACAGCTGAAATTTGATGTGGTAGTAGCTGAGAGTCATTCCCAGCACTGACTGTGAGTGCTAACAGATCACAAAGTTTTTGTTTAAAACTGCCGTGCAAAGCAACAAGTTTGATTTTAAATGTGCTGGAGTATGATCGCTGATTGACCATTCTTTATTAACGTTGTGTGAGCATCCAAAAGCATTCATGAAGAGTGTAGCTTTTTTTAACTTGAGCTGTTTTCCACCTTTTCTCAGTATATCATAGTGAGCTCCCTGCTGAAAACGCCGCCCCTCACGCTGTTTGATTACAAATACCCAGACTGGAGCATCACAGTTGGGTACATTATCGGCTTCTCGTCCTTCATGTGGATCCCCATCTACATGGTCTACAAGCTGGTGTGGACCCCAGGTTCTCTGAAACAGGTCAGTGGATTAAAAGAAGTCTAGAAGCAGCCTCCAAACTGAACTAACTGCTTCCTGCCTTGTTTTCATCAGAGGTTGGCGGTGTGTCTGAGACCAGAGAGGACCATCCCTGACGTCCGTGCAGACGACCTCAACATGTCCGCTGCGTCACAGAAAGACATAAACAACTCCGTGTGCTTGTAAAGTCGTTTTCAAAGCGCAGTTAGATTTTTTTTTTGTTGTTAAACCTGAGACTGTTGATGATGTCAAACACGTCAGTTCTCTACATACAGTCTGGACACGTTGTGGAAAGGTAAAGGCTGCCACAGGCGCATCTCAAAAAATTATTGTGAAAAAGTGTTTTATTTGTCAATCATTTCAGAAATAAAGGCCAGAAATATTTCACATTAAAAAATCTATATAATATGAGATTCACTTTCTGAAATGATTGACAAAAACATTGAACTTTTTCACAATATTCTACTTTTTTAGATGCATCTGTATATTTGTATTTTTAAAAGGAACTGAAATAGCAATAGTTACCTTTTCTCTCTATCTGTGATTTGGACCTGCAACATCCAAACAGTTTATAGCTTGCTGATATTTTCAGGTGTAGCTGTTGTGGTCGTGGAGGTCAGTGGTGCGTTCAGTGGTCTGTCTGTACTCCTATAAAAAGAAATGTTTGTCTAACTCCACTTTGTGAAGGTTCGTTAAAATCAGTCCTTCTTATTGAGCATTTCTTTTAGTGGAGACATCAGAAATTAAACAGAATCAACGTTTTCATGAACTAAATTATTACCAGAAGTAGAATTTTTAAACTTTTTAAACTCAAAAACAGAAAAACCCAAATGAGTGTTGAATAATTTAATATATTTATTCCAAGTCTGACAACATTTTCTTTATTTGTTTCAACAATGCTGTGCAACGAATTGTTAACAATTTAGGTTTTTCTACAAATGTATCCGTCATGAGTTAAATAAGGAACTCAATAATCATAGACAAAAATGTATTAAAATACCTTTAATTATACTAAGTATTGCTTTACAATCTAGCATTAAGTGATTTGAACTGTTTATGTTTGACATTTTTATGTTTTTATGTATATTTTAATCTTAATCTTCTTTTCACTCCAGTCAAACTGTTTTGCCTTAAACTGGAAACATTTTAAAATAAAGGTGGAAATGATGTGCCTCTCCAGAAAACAGTTCACTTTAACTAAAGACTGTTAGGTTTTTTTTTTTTTTTTCAGATTTACTTTTATTCACAAGTGTTAACTTATATCCAACACTTTATACAGATGATTTTTGTGATGATTGTTGTCTCCTCCTGAATACAGTTTCTGTAAAGTGTATAAAGTGATTATAGTATAAAAACACTGTTGTTTGTATTTTTTCATTTGTGAGGTTTTACACGAATGCTAATGCTTTGTCATCATTTTGGTTGTGAAATTCAAACTACAGTAGTTTAAACAAGCATTATTGGTATTGAATCTTTTTTAGTTTAATATAATAGAGGTTTACTGTTTTCTAGTCCACACAATAGATGAATATTTTTCAGGTGCAGCTCTGATAAAACGTGGAGTCCCACAAGGCTCCAGTTCTGGACTTGTTCTCTTTTCATTAGACTTTACATTCAGGGTCCATTTTTATAAGAGGCTATTCCTTTCCACAGTTTTGCCAAAAATATTGAACACAACAACAAAAACTAAGATACTTTGAGATACTTGGATACTAAAATACTTTTGTACCTAAAAGACATGGGTGAAGCTAAGCTTCTTTAATACCAATAAAAATAAAAAAAGACAGAAGATCAACTTGTTTAGTATACCAAACTTTGTAGATTATCCTAACAGTATTTTAGAGCCTCTGATATACTATAGATCTGCTGTTAAAAACCTCAGTGCAACAACTCTTTTAAATGATTTGTTCAGTTATTTTTTCCCCAATTTCAACTGTTAGCCAAGGTGTAGCTCTATTTGTTTCCCAACGACTCTGAAAAAAAAAAGTTTTAATTACATGTAGGGAGCAGGAGGGTTAAAGCAGTTCAGATTCCAGGAAGCTGTTTAAGACCCACATTTACTCCCTGGTCTTTGGCTCATTTGAATCCTGACTAGTTTTTATTTTTTGTACCATTTTATTAAAAGGCTATCTTTATAAACACTAATACCGTACATAAAGTTAAAAATGCAGTTATTAATTGAGCTGTAAACACTTAATAAAACATAGATAAGTACAGATAAAAGGAGATTACAGACCAGATAGTGAGCCAACATTTATCTGTATCCTGCATTCTCACTTTCTTCCTGCCTTTTTCAGCAATTAGATTTTAATACAAACATCTGTCATTGAGTAACATGCAAATACGTACAGTGAACAAAACTTGTTTTGCTTGCCTACTTTAATGCATGAAAAGAGTTTAATAACTGTATTAAGGAGTTTAAAAACTCACAAATAACATATTTAGAAAGTATTGTTGAATTTTTTTCATCAGTGATGTAAAGCGGTGGCTTTTTGTTGTTTTTTTTCTTCTTCTCTCGGCCGCTCCCTTCTTCAGGTGAACAATCTCGCATGAAGACTTGGCTTTTTTTTTTTTTTTTTTTTACACCAGATGCCCTTCTTGACACAACCACAGACCACCGAGCTACCACAGCCCTCTGTGTGAAGCAGAGAGCTGCTACCTGGGGCGCCCGGGGGAGCAGATGGTGGGGATTAAGGGCCTTATTCAGGTACCCAGTGTGGGGCAAATGAGGGTGGAGGCAGGTGAAGGTGCTTCACCTTTTCCACCCACATTTTGATGCTGTCAGTCCAGGGAATTGAACCGGCACCCGACCAGCTGATCACAGGCTTGCCTTCTCTAACCTCTGCGCCACCGCTCCCTCCTCTTTGTTAAAACATTTCCCTTGTTTTTATGAATAATTTTGTGTTTAGTCGAGTTTTGCTTCACAACCATTTGGTACTTTTGTTTCTTAATAAAGAGCCATTTAAATCAAAGTGATATATGTGAAAGTTTCTAAATCAGACCTCGCGTCTATGTTCACCTCTATTTGATATTCAAATGAACAAACTAATAGTCAATATTTATCATCTGTGAACATAGGAGAACAAAGCAGAGTAAACCACAAAAATGTCCTCAAGGATAAAAAAATAATAACTTAAATTGGAATAGACTTTTTAACTTTTTCAACCAAAACAAATTCCCAGCAGGCCTTCCTGTTCACTTCAAGGACCACAGGTCTGAACACTGAGAGGAAACAGCTCAGACTGTCCGATGCCCCGCGGAGCTGCTGCTGGTTGCTGGTTGCTGGTTGATGGATCAAAGTCCTTTTGTGTCAAACATGCTATTGAAGTAGTGAACAGGCACATAAAAGAGACACTGATCAACACGGTGGCTTTTTCTCCATCTGACACAGACAGCTTCATCTAAAGTCTAACAGGGAGAGGACGGCTGCTGATACCATCAGTCCCTTTAAAATACACAACCAAAAATAAGACAAAACAGTCAAGAGTTACAGACTAAATCCAGTTTATTAAGATAATTAGACAATATCACTTTTTTTTCTTCCGTAGTTTTTAATAATTTATTCAGTCATTCTGGATCATAGTTGTTTGTATGAATGAATGCACTAATTAAATTCGTTTGATCCGTTTTTAAATCATTTCAAATGTCAAAATTGTTACATTTTGTCGATGAAGACATTTTGTGTAGAAATTTATTTCATGTTTAATAGATTAAGTTACAGTAGTTAATGACTGTCGGGCTTACTTGCAAGGTTTATCATTACCAGATTCAAATGTACAATTGAATTATTTCAACAGATTAATTTCGACAGCCAAGATGTTTCATTGTTCGAAAGTCTGTGAACCATTTGATGATAAACAACCCCTTAAATATGAATGTTTAAAATAATTCAAAACTGTTGTTGCACATTTTAAATCAAAATCAAATTTACTATTGTGCTCAAAAATAAAAACCTCTAAAAATATACCATATTTTTCGGACTATAAGGCACACTTAAAATCCTTTAATTTTCTCAAAAATTGACATTAAGCCTTATAATCCGGTGCACCGTATGTATTAATTCTGGCTGTGCTTACTGACCTCGAATCAATTTTATGTGGTTATTGTGAATGAGTTGAATAAAGTTTGACTTATCTGACTGTTTTGTTTCGCTTAATGCACCTTTTAGTCCAAAAAATACGGTGCGGTAAACAAAGTGAAATTGTGAAGCAACTGTAAGTTTTGTCTCTGATAAGCAGGGTAACAACTAACCCGACAGGATTCTCGTTTGTCCTATTAACCCCATCAGTGAACCGTCTCAGTTAATCAAGTCAAAGCACATAAATGTGTGGAAATACTTCCATAAAAACAATTAAAACAGGAACTCGGGCTTCATGCATCTGGGGAGCCTCCAGTTTTAATTTCAGCCCACCGTGAGTGACATTTAATAATGTTCATTAGTCTTCTACACTGTGCCGTTGAAGTTTGTTGCAGTTTTTTCAACAGAGGAGACGAGCTGACTTCAAGTCAGTCATCAAGACAGGTTATGTGATGACTCTGTCCATTCTTTGTTCCTCCTTGACATTTCAGACACAAGAACCGTGACAGAGCTCATGAACTTGTTCTATAGTCTTGTTCTACATGGAAGTGTTCAGCTGTTGAACGATCCTGCAGTGGATCCAGGAGAAAACAAAATCATTTGCTAACACTTTCTGGACGCCAATAACTTACTCCTCAACGACCGGACAAACTGTGTGAAGCCGGCACAAGATCAAATAAATAAGAATAAAAAGGTTTAAATGAATCTTAGGACACAGAGACCGCAGGAGCAGCTGACTTTGTACTGACTGCAAGTTTTACAGTTTAAAAGGGATTTTAAAACGTCATGGGTTGTTGGTTTTACAGTTACAATGGTGCTTTATTTTTAAAACAACTGCAGTTCCTCAGTTCTTGAATTTATTACAGTGATCATTGTTTCATAATAATTATTGTTTGTCTTGTTTGTCTCTATAATGGACTTGAAACCTGTCCAGGGTGTCCCCTGCCTCTCGCACGGTGACTGCTGGATATGGACACCGGTGACCCCTGTGACCTGAAAAGGACAAAGCAGGTAAACGGTAATGGATGGATGGATGGATGGATGGATGGATGGATGGATGGATGGATG